CTTTGATCATACATATGTTAAAACAAAATAGATGAAACAAAAGATTATCCATTGTCATCTTAAATTTCTCAACTCCAAAATATAAACCGTCCACATTTAGAAAGAAAAGACTCCATGGTGTATGTCACATTTGTCTTACTAATTTACAGGTTGTATTATGCGGATGAGATTGTCCAACCATGTCATATCACTATCTTATTATTTGTATTTGAAAATAATACTCCCTTTGTTTCACAAAGAATGACCTCCTTTTTTTTTTAGTCAATTTAAATTTACAGGTTGTATTATGCGGTTGAGATTGTCCAACCATGTCATATCACTATCTTATTATTTGTATTTGAAAATAATACTCCCTCCGTTTCACAAATAATGACCTCCTTTTCTTTTTAGTCAATTTAAAAAAAATGACCTCTTTTCTTTTTTGGTAACATTTTATTTTTAACTTTCCACGTGGCATGTTTAAGACCACAAGATTAAGGACAATTTCATACATTTGACATAACTTTAATTTAAGATCACAAAATATAAAAGTCTTTTTTAATTTCTTAAACTCCGTGCCAAATCAAACCAGACCACTCTTTTTTAAATGGAGGGAGTAACAAGGATGGATACAAGTTGTCCTGGACAAATATTCTTTTTGATGAATATCTGGATTCTGAGCTTCATCACGTCTACAATATTACTTCTTCATGTTTGTAGTCATCCTAAAAGCTCAATCTTTTCATCCTAAACACCACATACACTGGAAACCTTCCATTCCAGTCTAAAGATGGAGCAATTGCACACGGGGATGTAATCACTTTCCGCGAAATGGATTTTCCATGCGTTCAATAATGCTCCGCAGTCCAGATTCATATGTAGGGTAAAGCAGCCTCACTCCTAGTTCCGTTTTAATGCGTTTATTGGAGACTCGCTTCTCTCCCCTTGAAACGCCCTGCGGAATTAAAGACTTTGCCTCTTCAGCAGAGTTGTTGGGGCTTATGTGACCTGGCCATTTCTCCTCAACCAAGTTCCTAGCAAACTTAAATACCTGCTCTCTAGGAGCAGGATCGTCATCAACTACATTGTATATCTTCCTGAAATGCCAAACCAGACAATTAATTGATTAAGATGAAACTAAGAAGATCATTAAATAGAAAGCTGAAAAGTACCCCCATCAAAATGACCTGGAAGTTATTGCACATAGAAACCACTGGAGTAGAAGCAAATACAAAAGTGTGCTAAAAGCTTCTAATCCAGTTTTATGCAGACAAGGTATTACCAACTTCAGAGGAATGATTTAATATTATCTTGGAAATAAAGGAAGAAACATAAATCGTACATTTAAGACAATCAAATTGGATGAACAAAGAGTAGTGTTATTGAATGGGTACCCAGGAGATGGCCTCTGAATGCTGGCCTTAAGAGCCTGGCAGATGTCAGCAACGTGAATACGGGATGTATAATGCCTGGAAAATCTCATCTTCTGACCTTTAGACAGAGGCTCTTGCTTGAGAATAGTGTCAACAGCACTGCAATAAAACATTAGTAAAAGTTAGTCAGATTGCAACTAAATCAAAGAGTGCTTCATTAGACTAACTGCTGGATGCAACATATCCGGAGAAAAACAATAGTAATGTCCAATTAGAGTAAACATGTCCTCATCACAACCTTCTACCAGGACCATATATGCCACCCAATCTAAATATTTGGGCAGTGACCCTTCCATCACAAGCCAGATGTAACCATCCTTCCTCCGCTGCTATCCTTGCTTTTGCCAATTCAGTTGTCGGGTTTGGTGGAAACCTGAAATATGGTAACATATAAATCTAGGATGACTACTTCGAATGCACCAAAGAGATTCAAGTGCTTGGTTAACATAGAATTACTCTTCATCAACCAATGCACCACCAGAGTCTCCATAAACACCTAATAGTCCAAAAGGGAAACACATTTCTCAGGATCAGTAATCAATAACATACTTCGTGAATACAGTCTGTCCAAAGAAATAGTTTTACCATGTAGCAATGTGATTTAACAATACAAATGCAAAATTTCTTCCTGCAATAGTTAAAAAAGACATACCTGTTGATGACAAGTAACCAAGCCACTGGAGGTTACCATCCTTTAGTCTTTCTTTTAGCAATTCTTTATGCCGAAGCATCTGCAGTACACACAACTATTACTAGACATTCAAGCTAGTGGAAAGGTAAGTTAAAAAACTTCTCCTACAGTTTTTCATGATATCATATAGCTCCATTCCAGATTCTACAGTTACAGCGAAAGTAAGTTTTATGGCTTTGGTGCATGATTTTACCTTATTTTTTAGATTCAAAAGTAAAGAATCTTCAAATAAATGATATTGCTAACTATTGAGTATAATAGCAAAACGTAGCTAAGAAGAAGAATTCTAACACCTAAAGAAACACAAAAGAATTTTAAGATTAACAATAAGAAGAAACAAAATTATCTTCTATTCTTTTTTATCATAGTTCATTTCCATATCGTGACAAAGAAAAGGTCGTTAGGAACGTCTACAATTAACATCATCAATAAACATGTTCACATGGAAGGTCTCTACAATTAGCACGACTATGTTTGTCATATTGCTTACTATAACAGCAGCATAATACTGAGTAAATTTACCGGATCACCAACACCCAAAACTGGGGGGACGGAGATAAGAAGATGTGAGTGGAATTTCAAGATATCGAGGACATCCTGTCTGAAAGATAGAGTAGAAACACTTATCAGAACAGGGGGGAGATAGAAAGAGTGTTTCTTCTATAAAACCGCCTACAAGTATGGAGGTTGAGATATGTGACCCTACATTTACACCCTAGATCAGAAATCAATGAACACATTAGTTTGGATATAAGAAACACAACCCAACTTTGACTTTATTTGGATGAAGTAACAATTACAGCAACAGTGAGAAAAGAACTATAAATCAAAGAGACTTAATTGCTACTTAACAAAGAAAATTTATCATTCACTTCATTCATGTAAGTACTGTGTACTGTATATTTTGTTTGAAAAAGCAGTAAACACAAAAGGGAAAACCAACAACAGCTTAGGAGTTCTTGGCCATTAAAGTCTTTGCTTGACATATTCTAATTCTCTACCAATTCGAAGTTTAAACATTATCCATTTATCATTTGAAGTCACTTACCTAGTTAAACAAACACATGCTTTGCCTCTTCTCCTTTAGATTTTAAGAATTCAATTATCCTCCTGTTGTTTTCATTATACTATGTCTTTTTACTATATCACTTTCTGGCCATTTTAGCCATTGCTTAATCTCCGGTAGTAATTTTGTCATGTACAGCAAAACCCCAAGGCAGTCACTTATCCCTGTTGTGTTATTTTAGGAGGCATTCGGAAAATGACTAGTTGCATCCGAAAGGGTTGATCCATATTCAACTTTAGACAAAATTTGCAGCAACGAAGTAATTTGCTATGTTAAGAGAGTTGAGGACGAAGCTTCCTGCTTCCCACAACAGTAGAGTTATGTTCTGACCAAAGAACATATATGAATAAGAGAGATGACTGGAAAACTCACTGTGGTTCATTGGCGTCAAATATGTGAGCATGGAACCCCATTTCCTCTAATTTCGTTTTCCCGGAAGTACTAGTACAAGTTCCTGTAACTTCCCTACGCAATAAACAAATGTTAACAGCTAGCTTCTTTTCACAACTTCAACTAGTACGAAAAGAGGAAAAGGAGATCAAGGATAAGTCTTATTCACCATCCATTGCTTTTCAAATCTGCAGCCAAGAATTTTCCTATGAAACCCATTCCCAGAATGAACATTCGATTTTTCGAATCCGGGTTTTTAGTGCTCGATTCGTCACCTAGACTGCATTTAATATAGGGGGGAAACTGTGGCATTTTAATAGAGTATATTCCGGCTGTTTGACCCTGCCGGAGATGAATAACGGCCGGTTGACTTGGCAGCCGGCAAATCTCCATTCCAGATAACTCTATACTCTGAAACTTTCAGGTAGTGGTTAAAACTTAAAACAGAAGAGCAGAAGTGCTGGTCAAACAGAAAGCTCGTAAGCCCATCCCAATGCGCTTTGGGCTAATAATATATGGGCCGTATCGGTGACTTAGTGCTAATAGGCCTCAATAGAAAGCCCAAGTATAATGGTTTCAGTTTTTCTCTTCTTCAAACAACCATTACCAACCAACCAAATAGGTTTAATTGTGACATTCTTAGAAGGACATATTTCTATATTTAATAATAATTTATTTTTAAATATTTTTTAATGAAATAATTTATAATTACATAAATATTTAAAAGACTTGTATTAAATAACGAGTTTTAAACATTTTTATTTCATTCTTAAAACTGTGTATTGAATCAAATATCATCACATAATTTACGACGAAATGAGTATATTTGTGAAATTCCCCCACCCCCAAGGAACTTCTTCAAAACTTATTTCTAAAAGTTGACCAAAAGATTTGAAGGAGTCAAATTAGTAGCACAAGTAAGACAATATCTCCACTTGAATAGTTGATGCTTTAAGTCAATTTTGTTCAGCTGCTTAAAAGCTCTCCACAATGAATCCACACGCTTTCTTGCCTACAAATAATTTTCAGGTGGGCCAATTGCTCCATTTCTTTTCATTCTAGCCTAACTCTTCAATTTTCCCTCCTTATTTCTTTTTACTTATTCTGTTTCAATTTATGTGATACTTTTTATTTTTTGAGAATCAAATAATTTAAATTTGATCAAGAATTTGTGCATGAAATCTTTAATTTTTTTAAAATTAAATTTATATATTTATAAATTACATATAAAATACTATAAATCACAATAATTAATAATTCAAAATATCTATGAGACGTGACTTGAACGTCCACCTTTTTTGGATGACAAACAGAGATCACAATGTCCAAATGCACAGCCTAGATATACTATTAGTCTATGTAACAGTACAGCTCTAATAGCGATGGGTCTAGAAATCAATATTTAATCTTCAAAGGTCAACCCATCAAATTATTTGTGATTAAATATTACTCCTATATATCTCTGTGCCTCATCAATTATTCTTTTCTTACATAAAATTCCTACACGCATTTACGTTGACTTTTTCTTTTGAGACATTATTATGCCGCGTTGGTGTTTGATTATTGTCTAAAAAAATTAAAATTTCTGCTTTGCTTATATAACAAAACAACAATCTCTTGATTCCTCTGAGGTGAAAATGAATTATTCTCATCTCGTCTTTGTTTTTACCATCATTCTTGCGTATTCCTCTGTTTCAATTCTTGCACAACAGCCTTACTTTGGAGCAGGAACAAATGACTGCAACGCCCAAGATACCTCCACTTCTGCTTTTGGGTATTTATGCAATGGCGCTAACCGTACTTGCCAATCCTATTTGACCTTCAGATCTCAACCCCCTTTCAACACCGTGCCCTCAATCTCATCTCTATTGGGTGCTAACCCTTCACAGCTCTCTCAGCTCAATTCAGTTTCTCAAAATGCTACTTTTAACACCAACCAAATGGTTCTTGTTCCTGTCACTTGTTCTTGTTCAGGTCAGTTTTATCAATCAAATGCATCTTATGTTATCAGAAGGGGTGATACTTTCTTGAATATTGCAATTAATACCTTACAAGGATTGTCAACTTGTCATGCTATCAACGCGGAGAACAGTGAACAAGCTAATAATCTGGTTGTTGGTTCAAGAATTAATGTTCCTCTGCGATGTGCTTGTCCTACGCAAAACCAAACTGATAATGGTACAAATTATCTCCTTACTTATTTGATTGCTTCTGGGGAATTTGTTTCCTTCATTAGTGATAAATTTGGGCTGGATTTTAGGGCAACTCTTGCTGCTAATAGTATACCAGAAGATGCTCCTACTGTCTTACCAAATACTACTCTATTAGTTCCTTTATCGACCCCACCTTTGAGTTCCCAAGTTGCTGGACCATCTCCACCACCGCCTCCTGCGACAACATCAACACCACCACCTGCTGTCCCTGTATCGGAGAGTAGCTCGAAGAAAACTTGGATATATGTTGTGGCTGGTGTTGTTGGAGGACTTGTTGCTTTGTGTATTCTGGGGGTTGTTGTTTTCTTTTTGTTTTTCAGGAAAAAGGAAAAGAAAGCTGATCCACAGTTTGTTTCTGAAAGCTTTGAAGCTGTTGAGAAACCGTCGAATAAGAAAGTTGAAGAAGAATCAGAGGAGTTTTTGGAAAGTTTATCCAGCATAGCTCAATCTGTTAAGGTTTACAAGTTTGAAGAGGTTAAAGCAGCCACAGAAAATTTCAGTCCTACATGTTTGATTAAGGGATCTGTTTATCGGGGCACGATCAATGGGGATTTTGCTGCTATAAAGAAAATGAGTGGTGATGTATCAAAGGAAATTAATTTGTTGAGCAAAATCAATCATTTTAATCTCATTAGTCTATCGGGAATTTGTTTTCATGATGGTCACTGGTATCTTGTATATGAATATGCTGCCAATGGACCATTAAGCGATTGGATATGTCACCATAATGGTGATCAGAAGTCACTAAGTTGGGCTCAAAGAGTACAAATTTCTTTTGATGTGGCCACAGGGCTTAACTATCTTCATAGCTACACATCCCCTCCTCATGTTCACAAGGATTTAAACGGTGATAATATTCTTCTTGATGGTGATTTAAGAGCCAAGATTGCTAACTTTGGTCTAGCAAGGTCAGCGGATGGACAAGAAGGTGAGTTTGCGTTGACAAGGCATATAGTTGGGACCCAAGGTTACATGGCACCTGAGTATTTGGAGAATGGGCTAGTCTCTCCAAAGCTGGATGTCTATGCATTGGGAGTTCTGTTGCTGGAGATTCTCACTGGGAAAGAAGTTTCTGCTCTATATGAAGGCTCAAATACAAACTTGTCTGAGGTGTTGATCCCGGTGCTTCATGATGAGGATGCAAAGGAGAATTTGAGCAACTTCATTGACCCTTCTCTGCAAGGGAAGTACCCTGCAGAACTTGCCTTTGCCATGGTCAGATTGATCGATAACTGCATAATGAAAGATCCTTCGCATCGCCCTAGTACGGATGAGATTGTGCAATCTGTTTCAAGAATTATGACAGCCACACACTCATGGGAAATGTCATTTAGAACTTCAGTGTCACCACATAGATTGCCCTAGATCAATGATTGTAAGGTTTTCTTTTTGTGTTTTTTCTTTTTGGTTTTTCCTTCTTCCACGTCTAGCATGATTTGTTATGTGCATAATGTTATAACCTTGTTTATGAATTTCGAAGAGCTATGACACCATTTATCCTACATAAAAATCAGTTAAATATTTCAATCAAGCCACCTTGTGCTCTCTTACTTGTGTTCTTTCTTGCTCTGAGTAATGCATGTAGTCCTCCTCGTGTTCCATATATGTTCCAAGCGCAAACAGGTCCTGGCTTTAACCTAGCAAAAGAGAGTGGCTTCATCATAATAAAGATCCTGATAACTGGTAAACAACAGAACTAAACCTACCTTGAATCATAGATCAAGGCAGCAACTTGCTGGTTTTACCTAATAGTGACAATGGATCACTGGGCCTGTCTTTTGTTTTTGCATCTCGTATTGTTGGTAGCTATACAACTTGTGAACACAACAGGTTAAGCTGGTTTATAAAGCCATGTTGAAGCTGTAGAATCAACTGAACGCCAATTAAGTATAAAAAAAAAGCTGACTGATTGAAGGAATATACCTGTATGTTCCCACTGATGCCACAATATTGAACTAGTCTAGCCGTCTGAAAACTAATTATTAATAACATCATCTTTGAGTTCTGGAATTCGTTGGTCAAGAACCATGAAGTATTAGAAGGCTTTTGCACATGATGATGATGGCATAGGTATGTGATCAACAAGATGAAAGTGGAAACATTGACTTGTAGCATTCAAATCCAATGATTGAATACATATCTGGGGCAAAATGAAGGCAGGGCCGGCTGGTTATTTATTTAATTTAATCTGACTTGACTTTGTTCAAAAAGGACAACAGGCTAGTGGTTGTTATTATTGTTATTATTTTTTGGGCCCTCGAATAGAAAGCAAATACCTGTGGGATAACGTGATTAATGTATATTCGAGCTTCTTGTAATTGAATGATTTATGACTGGTATATTAAGTTGTGATCATTTTGGACTAAGATCCGGTTAACTGCAGCAATATGGATAATGAGGATTCAAATAGCCAATCACTATTTAAAAAAAAAGGATTCAAATAGCCGATCAAACTTGCATAGAATTGAGCATAGTAGGAGTTGTTACTGTTTATATTAAGTTGTGATCAAGTTAGAGTCTGCTATCTTAGTTTGCTTTAGTAAAATAATTCCTTGTGGCATCTAGAGATTTCAATTTTCAGGATAAACTATGAATTATTATGGACGGCATCTTAATAAGCAGTTGCATCTGAGTTTCTTGCAAGACTGTATAAAACAGAAATTACACGCTAGACCTGCTCATCAAGCAAGGTCAATAGTTGATGATACAATACATACTGCCTTAGAGAATGACATGAATCGCCGTTTTGAAACTTCACGTTTATGCTAATTGTTTAATAGTTAAATGTGGAAAGCTCCAATGGTTGTTAGAAGAAAATGTCGTTTAACTAGAATATTGTTTCATTTCATAAGTGGTCTGCATCAATGTGGTGGCTTCATATTGTCAATGACATATGATGTTTGACTTTACATTGAAGAATATTTTGTGTTCATTTGAATTACACTGGCCATAAGGGCATGTACCTCAACTTTCTCAGCTGCCATTGGGTAACTCTGAGACAATAGCATACCATGGGTGATTTTCCGCTTATCTTTTTCATAAGTTTCATCGTTTTAGCTTCAAAGGTCTATGCCCAACAAAATTATTCAGGCAATACTGTCATGAGTTGTAAAGGAACCAATGAAACAGGAACTACTGCTTCTTTTCTCTATTCTTGCAATGGTGAAAAGTTCTCCTGTCCATCATTCCTGATTTTTAGATCAGATTCTCCTTATAATTCTGTTTCTTCCATCTCAAAACTCCTATCTTCGAACCCTGATGATATTGTCCACATCAACAATATCTCAAGGTCTAAAATATTGGATCAGAATCAAGAAGTTATAGTTCCAGTAAATTGTTCATGTTCAGGTCAATACTATCAGGCTGACACCTCTTATGTTATACGAAGCAAATTTGATACCTATTTTCGCATCGCAAACAGCACGTATCAGGGGTTATCTACTTGCAGTGCTCTTATGCATGAAAATGTCTACATTGCACTGGATCTGTTTCCAGGTCTAAATTTGCGGGTACCACTCAGATGTGCCTGTCCTACAAGGGATCAGTCAAGAAATGGAGTGAAATATCTGGTGACTCATTTGGTTACATGGGGGGACAACGTTTCTAGCATTAGCGCGCAGTTCAGTGTCAGTAGTCAAAGTATAGCATATGCAAATGGATTATCTGAAAATTCAGTTCTTTATCCTTTCACAACAATACTGATTCCTCTGCCAAAAGAACCTTCAAGCTCCCAAACAAGGACTATTAAGACAGCACACACTGAAATATTTTACCCTTCAAGGCACAAAATATCATACCGCAGTCTTTTCATTGGGGTAGGAACTGGTGTATCCCTTGCAGTCCTCTGTTTTATCTTGTTCATTGTCTTAAAATATAAGAAGGAAAACAAAAGAGGTGAAATACTTGGGAACCGAAGACAAGGGAAACAAACAAGGAATTTGCCAGAACATGTCCTGGAAAGTATTGTTGGTGAAGGTCAAATGATTAAAGTGTATGAATTCGAAGAACTGGTGGCTGCAACTGAAAACTTCAGCTCGCGAAAAAAAATTGGTAATTGTGTTTATAAAGGGGTCCTTCGAGGAAAACTGATGGCCATCAAGGAGACGCGGACAGACATATCAAAGGAGGTTAAATTCCTTGCAAAGATCAACCATTTCAATTTAATTAGCCTCACTGGTGTCTGTAAGCATCACCAACTATCCTATCTTGTTTTTGAGTTCATGGAAAATGGATCTTTAAATGAATGGCTTTTCAAGGATGATAACCCCGAGGCTCAGAGCTGGAACTGCAGAATTCGTATTGCCTTAGATATCGCTGATGGTCTAGATTATATTCATAACTTCACAGCTCCAGCTTATGTGCATAATAACATTAGTAGTAACAGTATCTTACTTAACAGACATCTAAGGGCCAAGATTTCAAATTTTAGCCTGGCGCGGTCAGCAAACAATGAGGGAAAGGAAAGTTCATCTATGAAGTTCGTCAAGGGAAACAATGGCTACTTGGCACCAGAGTACATTGAAACTGGCCAGGTTACTCCCAAGGTAGATATCTATGCATTTGGAATCGTTTTGTTGGAGATTATTACAGGAAAAGGGGCTGCTTTTGAGCAGGATGGAAAAGAAGTACTCTTGTCAGAGACAGTGCTTGAAAGTATGGATAAAGAATCTAAAATTCAAGAACTCGAAGATCCAAGGCTACAAATTAAGCACCCGCTTGGTTACATAATTCAACAAACTGATCTCGTTCTTCGATTGGTGAAATTATCTGCAGCATGCTTGACGATGGAACCTGAAAGAAGACCAAGTGCAACTGAAATAATATCTACCTTAATCAAAATCCAGACAGATATACAAAACTAGAGAACTTGTGAACAAAATGAATAAGTGTTTATATGTTACGTTCATACATATTGTCCCAACAGTAAACTTTTGTTTCTTAAATGTAAAGTTAAGACTTAGTTGTGGCTTCTGTACTACTGTTCATTTAGTCCCCCTTTCCTTCCTTTTCTCTTTTCTTAGTTTTCTCTCAATGGGCTCTGACTCCCAAAATATTAATTCTTGATGGATGCCATTCAACAAAATATACAACATCAACTGTTTCAGCTGCAAAACACATGCAGAGAATAACCAGACACGAGGACTGCAATATGCAGTAAATTGTGGAGAGAGCTCATCGTTCCATGCATCTATTATGTTACTATAGCTTTGTTTGTATGATTCTCTATTGTCATATATGAATCCTCTCTGTCCGCTTAGCTCAATCTAATGAATTTAGTGATTCATTATAGTTAAAACTATTTTTACAATGACCCGCCATCCTAGTGCAATCCTCCTCTTATCTTCTAACTTAGAACAAGCTATGTGAAACTAACACAGTTGAAGTAAGCTGAAGAAGTAAATCAACCAAAAATGTTCTCTGAATAAGATGAAAAATAAGAGAATACCACCATATAATTACAGGAGCAGGCAAACACAATACAACGCCATATAATTGCAGGAGCATGCAAATAAGATATAATTGGTGCTGCTTCATACATTACATGGAGTCAATTAGGCCTATATGATCAATCTTCCTCTTCTCCACGACAAAAATGAAACACCTTTTGGTGGACAATAAGAAAGGTAGATACTTGTGCATCAATATGTTTGGATTTCCTTTATATGAATAAGTATACAACTTGAAGCAGACACAAGTGTATTAAACGTATCTGCATCTTATTGCTGCATTTACTCTTTATATTTTGATTATTGTGTAATGATTATAATTGTATGTGCTATGTGGTCCTAACAAAACTAGTATAGAAGGTTTGTTTAGAACATCCGCATTGAAGTGGAAACACTCGGAATGACTGAATATTTTAACACGGGTAGGTTCCTGTAAGCCGGATGTGATCAAGTGTCGTCTTGAGGCCATACTTGAGCACTGCCTTATTACCTTCTCTGAATCCATCCCCATAAGCTGCTGATGTATCTGATTCAATCTGGTGCTTAAAAAAATCACCCAGTTTCTTCTCAAAGTCGGAGCGTTTCCCTTTCTTTGATGAAGTAGATGGTGATGAAGATGATGATGAGGATGCAGATGTAGATGCAGAAGTTGAAGTACTACCAGAACCAGCTATAATTTCTGAGTCCAACCACATGTGAGCTAAAACTTGGCAGATACCTTCTTCCACTTCTGGACTTAAACTCGGATAACCTAATAATCATTTAAATAGAGAACATATCTTCAGAATCTTAACATATAAACAGATATCTCATTCAAGTGTTATCAAAATAAAAGATCCACCTTTAAGCCGCAGCCATGCATGCATCATTTCATGAGCCAGAATTGAACCAGTCAATAACCTGGAAAAGTCTTAGTTATGAGTAAATTTGTCTTCAGAAAGAGTGAAGCAAGAATTTTTTTATGAGGTATGACTTTTAGACCATTCTATTAAGCATGAAAGAAGTGTGACATTTATTACCTAGGAAGACCATACAAGATTAGAATAGCTGTCACTTCACATTGTCGAATTAACCTGTGAGGCTC